TATGAGGGGGCTTCAGCACTAAAACTGGCTGAAGTATCTTGTGATCTTTGGATACCCCGTGATCGGACGGGGTCTTGGTCAGAGGTGGTTAGATCATCATCATGAAGCGGATGGGATCATCTTGTACCACCTAGGCTTTAGGTGGTACTGCCTCGCAGTGGTATTGAACTCGGAAACAGTACTTGGTGACCTGGGAGCGTTACCACTACGCTATTGACCCATAGGTCTGAAAGCAACTGTATATAATAAAAATATATTATATTGATTTAACTATAGATTAAAAAAATTTTTTTTGAATTGATCTTTAAATAATATTGAATTATAGATCTTGTGATTGTAATTTGAGAGCACTATTATTATATTATTTATAAATCTTAAATTCAATTATATTTTTAATAAGTTTTTCAAATTAACATATTATAAAAATTTTTAATAAATAAAAATCAATAAATATTATAATTAAAAAATAAATCAAGATAGATAAATTTCTTAAATAGTTAGAAAAAAAAAGAATATTTCAATAAGATATTTCTTATTGAGAAAAGTCTTGATAAATTTTTATTCTTAATTATTTTTTTTTATCTTCTTTTTATATAATTATGTATTTTTAAATATCTTCTTTTTTTTTTTAATTGTATTACAGTAACAATCTATCTAATATATAATTTTATTAAGTTAAAATATTATTTTCAAGATCAAACTTCACTTTATCCCTGTATATATGGGCAAGTGCCGTAGCCAGGCTAGACTGTATCAATTGAATACATACTGTAAGTACAATTCATTTAAAATTTGATATCGGTTAAATATAATTGGCTACAATTCAAAATTCAAATAAAATTTTCAGATAGTTATCAAAAATGAACAAGAAACAAAATTGTAATATTTGTCGCGAAGCAGAGTTCAAATATAAATGTAGCAAGTGTACAATTCCAATGTATATATCTTTACTATAGTGAGAAAATGGAAAAGTATTCTTGATGATAACTGATTTCGTAATTAATTTATAGATGCTCGCTTGCATGTTACAAGGTTCATAAGGGTGAGCATTCTCATTAAATAAGAATAATATATTAAATAAATATTAATGCCTGATTTAACAAATTGATAGAGAATTCATGTGAAGAAGATATCCGAGTAAAAAGTAGGTTCACTCTTTGTTTCATGCATTTCTGATTCAATTTTTCCAAGCATTGTTTTTTTAATTCGCTTGATACCTTAATTAGATGATGCTTCTTTTTTAAACAATCAATGTGAGACCTCACAAAACCAACAAACTATTTCAAAAGAAAATATCTTAAGTTACTATTGCTCCGATGACAGCGTAGACGATGAGGAAAACCATGAATATGAAGAAAGAAGTTATAGTGATAACGTATATGACCATGTGACATCAACACTTGGGAATATTGATAAAGACAGCGAGTCAGATGAGTCTGGATCTGTAACGTCTTTTTCATCGGAGGGCTCTGTTGATGTAAAGGAGGATATAATGCCAACATCAGAATTTTTAAATTTATCGTCCGATGATGATCTTAATCCATACATTCAGAAGAATATTCAACGTGATAAATTATCGAAGAAACGAGATTATGAACAAGAATTACCCGTTATACGTGATGTTATTCAAGAGCCATTGACTAAACGTTCAAGAAGTGAAAAAAATACGAAATCCAAAAAGAAAAGTACCCTACATCCTGACTTTCCAACCGTGGAAGATCGGCACAAGAAGGAACAATCTTCGGCAGCTAAATTTGAAGATTTGTTGGCTACATTTCAGGCTAATGATAATTCGTCTGCAAATCGATTATCGGGTATCAAGGCGAATTCTCAATTACCATCAGCGTTCAGTTCTTCACCATCTCAGCGGCAGCAATCATCAACAAGGGTAGATCCTCATCAGTATTTATCAAAATCGTTATTATCAACTATTCAGAGAGCAGCATCTGCAGTTCGTGAATATCATAAGAAACAAAGATTAGCACTTTCGTCATCCGTAGCCCCCAAAAATTTTGCTCCCGAAGAAGAGAGTGATTTATTAGATGATGAGGACGACTTAAGGCTAAAACCAGAACAACTTGAGAAATTGCGTAAGCGATATTTAGTTAAAATTTGGATTTATAAACATATGACTCAAATTATTTGTTTTTCATAATTATCAATAGGAAATTCCAAGAAAATTAGGGAATTTCTTCGGGACGATACGCTAAGGGAAATTATATATTTTATAGATAATGCAGCAAAGAGTCCAAAGGTCGAGGAACTATTGGATGCCGCAAGGTTAAATGATGAGATATTTCATGACTTTACGGAAGAAATTTTGAATCTTGTCACAACTCGCGATTCTGATGATTAATGGATATCGAACATACCAACATTTTTTTATGTTTGATAGTTGTTGAGTTGATTCTACTCGATAATAAAATGGATAGAAATTGTTAAAAACATTTAATTTTTTTGTTTGTAGAAAAAAAATTCAATTTATAATTTTTATTTACAAAAAAAAATATAAAAAATTTTTGAAGTCGATTTTAATAATTATTCATATTCTGTATTAAAAAAAATTTTTTTTCCCTGTCAGGCTAATTATGTGTGCTTTATTAAACATTAGTATATATTTTTTAATCTGTAATCATATTATGATGGCTTGTTTTTATTGAGAAATTGAAAAAAAATCTACAATAATTTATAGACTTTCACAAAGCCATTAACCTATCATAATATATAAATACTTTAAGACCGATTTTGGAAACAATATTATACTCTCCTAATATGATTGGATTAATTTCTATTTATCAAGATTATTGTTAACAATTTGTTACTATTAATTTATATAAAAATCAATAGATTGTTAAGGGAAAAAGAAGAAAAATAATTGAAGAAAGAAAACAATTCAAAATTTTATTAAAAAAATTTAGAAAAAAAATTATTTTTTTTCTAAAGAAAAAGAATTTTTTTAAAAAAAAAAAAA